GATCAAGACTATCTCTCTGATCTCTCTGAATTTCCGTCAATTGCCTCATCCATAAACCTTTTTTTTTTTTATTAAAAAAAAAAAGAAATTTGCTAAATTTCTCCATTGATTTTCTGTGGATTGTACCGTAAAACCCAGTTCAGATTTCGTTTTTCTTTTTTTAGCGATTACTCTGAATAAAGGTTTATCGGAATAGATTACAATTTTTTTTTTAATTTAAATCCAGAAAATCTGGTTCAACTCCATCGGCTGTTCACTGTTGTATTCTTATCTGCTCATCTGAAAAAAGAAAAAAAAAAAAAGATAATTGTTTCTCTCTCTTCTCTATCAGCCCAATTAAAAAAAATTAAATTGGGTTCAAAACTGATAGAAGATAGAGAAACCGAACTTTTTTTTTTTCCCCAATCAATCAAAATCAAAACATTCGATTTCCTGATCTGGGCGAATTCAATTGAATCGAGTTTGTTCATCAATTGACGATGGCGAACGCTTCCGTAGCGAGTCTGGATAAATGGAGGGAGTATTTCCGGAGTGCGAATTCGAACATCTTCGGAATAATCGAGCATGCAATAATGGTCGCCGCCTCCGATTGCCCCTACGACTTCAAATTGAAGAGGGATCGAATCGCCGAGATGCTGTTCGCCTGCAAAATGACCAAGTGTTTCGGCTGCGACAGAATCGAATTGGCCGTGCCAAACGGCGTCGTTTTGGAGAAGAGCGAGGATGATAAGTACAACAAGAGTGGGGCCGATGCCGGTGGGAGTAAAGACACAAAGGAGAGCAAGGTGAACAGCAGCACCAGAGAAGGAGATGATGATGATGACGTGGATGATGACGTGGACGGTCGAGAAATGAATGTGAACCATGTTAGTAACTACAGCTATGGCGATGCTGAAGCTTTGACCGATGAGATTGAAGAGGAGTCTCAGTTGTTCGGTGAGGTTTTGAGGATCAAAGAAATCGTCGACAATTACGAAGACGAGGTTTATTTATTCACTATTCTTTTGATTAGTGTTTTGATTAATTTGGATTAGAAAAAAGTTTGCGATTCGTTTACTTGATGATGGTGTTTGTTTTCGTCGTCTGGTTTTGATTGTTGCGTTGTTTATTATCTGTTACGGCAGTCTGATTCGACGTTGTTCGAGTCGCTGAGGAGGCTTCAGCTTATGCCCTTTTCTGTCGAAACGCTCAAGGTTCGACTTTCGAGATTTCGAATTAGTGCTGTCTTTGTCGGATGTTTCGATTATGATCGTTGTTGCTTATTTTGTGTCTTTTCGTTTTGATCAGGCGACAGAAATTGGGAAATCTGTTAACGGTTTGCGTAGGCATGGATTGAAGGATATTCGGGATCTTGCTAGGAGATTAATCGAGTATGGATTCTCGTCTACGAGCTTTTTTTGTTGCATTTTATTTTTTGTCGGTTAAAAAAAGTGAAGAATTCTATGTTAAACGTGTCGCGTGGTAATTTGATGGCATTTGATTAGCATTAAAAATCCCTTTTCTTGTTTAGTTCGCCATTTTCATACGAAGATCGATTGATTGATGATAATTCGTCGAGGATTTTTTAAACTAGAAAAAATCTCGTCGCTTTATATGTCGAGCTTATCGGTTTGAATTCTGAAATGCAGGGATTGGAAAGTGATGGTTGATTCTTGGGTTAATGCTACAGCAGCCATTGCAGGTAGTTCGTCTCGATAAAAGTCCTTACAAAAATACGTATTCTTGAAATTGCTTTCTACGGTGTCTCGAGCGAGAAATTTTAACACATTTTATTTGTGCAGCAATTGCGACGGAATCGGTGAAAACATCTACGGTTGAAGAAGAGGAAGAAGGGCTTCCATCTCCGCCACTTGACGAAGGAGCTTTCTTTGCTACTCCTTCTTCAATGGAGCTTTCACAGGTACAATCATATCGCATCGCATCCCGTTTTTTTTTTTCTGATTTTTTTTCAAGACTGATTTTTTTTTTCGGTTTTTTTTTGTTTCTAAATTGGGATGCGGTGAATTTCAGTTCTTTGACGGAATGGATGAAGATGGAAGTGAGTTTCTCCTCTTTATATTGGGCTTTTGTTTGCTAATCGGTTCTTTAGTCGAATTTCCCCACTAAAGAAAAACGAGCGTTGCAATAATTGTTTTTTCTTATTTGGGGAGATGTACATTTTGTTTACAGATCCTCAAAACAATGGGGAATTGAACAAGAACCGAGGAAGCGGCAGAAACCCTAATCTCGTCAAAACCGACGCCCGTAGATCGAGTCTTGACGAGAGAAAGGAAAGGAAAATCGTCGAAGAGAAGAAGGCTCCGGAAGCAATGTTGAAAAGACAACAATGCCCTCCTCCTTCTAGAACAAATAGGCCTCCTCCGAGCAGCGAATCGGGCCCCGGTAGACCGAAGCCCGCTGCTATTAAACCACAGGCTAATAATAACGGCGCAATTCAAAGGAAACCGATGCCTACACAACAGGAGGTCAATATCGTAATTTGAGCTTGCTTTACTTTACTTGTCTAGTTTTTATTTATTTATTTAATTATTATTTTTTGCGTTGCAGAAGTTGAATTCTAACAACGAGCCTTCGGTTCGGATGAAATTAGAGGCTGCTAAAAGGAAACTGCAGGAGCGGTATCAAGAAGCTGAAAACGGTTAGTTTTTGGCCGTAGCTTTTGAAATTCGGATAAATTCAATTTTTTTTTTTTGAGTAAATAAATTCAAATTTCTAATATAGTATGTTATTTAAGGCCTCGTTTGGTTTGCAAGATAAGCCATGATTAATTAATTAGTCAATCTCGACGTACTTCATTTGGTTAGTCTAATAACTTTCAAGATTGCCCGAGTTATTATCTTAGATCATTGTGAAAATTATTTGTGTAATCCGATTCTGATCTTGGCTAATCCTATCTTGACAACCAAACGAGGCGTATTATTTGTGTATTTATTTTTTATTATTTTGTGGTGAAACAGCGAAAAAGCAAAGAACAATACAAGTAGTGGAATTGCGCGATCTACCGAAGCAGAATTTTGGACAGAGGAATCAGCATATGAGGCCGGCCAATCAAAATAGGAACCGACCAAATGTGCGTCGATAGAATTTGTAATTATTGAATATAATAATAAATATATAATTCCGAAATAATACTCGGAAAAGTTTAATTTTCACCTTCGTCGGTGAAAGAAATGTTAGCTAACTGGTTAGACCCCGTTTATTTAGTCGACAAAAAACTGTTTAAAGAATCGGAGAATTTCGAAGCATGAGAGATATATATATATAGACATTTTGCCCTAATTCTTTTGAATTATGGGATGTAACATTAGACTTTGTAGTTGGAACATTTTATATACATTTTCAGGAAATAAAATTAAATTTATTTGAACTATCATTAATTTTTTTTTCCAGCTTAATAGTGAGGAAGTTTGAAACTTTAATTGAATTGAATGGAGATTAAAAAAATAAATCACTATTGTCATATTTTTGCAGGGAGTCAACCAAATTCAACATTAACTAACAAGCAATAAATTAATACAGTTTGTAAATTAAAAAAAGAAAACTGATATACAAAATAAATTTTAAAGTCAACTATCATATGTTTAATTTTATATGCATAGTGATTTCTGTAATGGAATTGGAGTAAGTTTGACATTTTGTTAAAGTCCAACGTGGTATTACTTGCACCACATTAATAATCATAAAATGGACGGTATTGTTTTTTTTTTTTTTTTAATAATTATTTCATTGAATATTAAATACAAGTATATTCCCCTATTTTATTATCATATATATAATCGAACAATATGTCAGAAAAAAGCTGGTGCTCGAATAAGTATCAAAACCTATAGCAAGATAACAAAGAATTTTTTTTTTGGCGGTGGAGATTCATCTATTCAAGAAATTACCACAAATGTTGTTGAAAATGTTCGGTTTTTGCAGACGTTGCACCCAAAGAAATACAATGATAATCATGCATTATTGATTTACACATAATAATATACGTATTTATTTGTATGCGTGCTCACTGGACAGTTATTTGTATATATTAATAATGCAGGGTCACCCGGTGTAATTCGGAGTATAGTAACGTTGGATATTTGTATAAAAAAGAGAAGAAATTTTACAAAATAATTAGACATACCTAAATCTCACTTATTTTCTATAATATAAAAAAAAAAATAATACAAAATCCAACATACTGCACTAGTGTAGGGTCCACCAAGCTCAACCCCTCTCCTAAAGTCAACGCGTAAAATTGACCAGTTCTGGTCGTATCTAAGCTGCACACGTTTTATATACATTAATTTTTGCTTTTTTATTAAAAAGAGAAAAAGAAAAAGAAAAAAGAAAAAAATATTTCTACAGAATTGAATTTTGCCTTTTGAGTTGGGCCCTCATATTCTTCTACTTGTCCTTTTAATAAAGGCCTACTTCTTTTGACTCTCCTTATTTCACCCCTTTGTTCTACAATCTTGTCAGAGTTCCTTTTCTACAAAATTATTAATTTCACTTCATATTATTATTATTATTATTATTATTATTATTATTATTATTATTATTAATTAATAATCTCACTTAACTTGCCCCACTAAAGAACCCTACTTCATATTTGTTCTATGTATGTAGTCTTACTTACATGTGATACTCATCTATAGATATATCAGGAAATCTTTATAAATTAATACACTTTGTAGTAACAAAATTCTATAAATATAGAAAAATATTAAATTATCAAACTACTACTGATTGATTATATGTGTACCGAATTGGGAACGAAGAAATATTATTTAAGCAAGATTTTTTGTTTAACGACTGAAATTATAATATAATATTATATTTCTTTATTATATCATTGATGAGAAATTATGATTAGGGACGAATTTGAGTGTATTCAGATTAGTAAGTATACCATATATTATCTTAATTAAAATAAAAAATAAAATAAAAAATTTATTTTACAAAGAAAAAGTAAGTAGTGGAACCTAAAAATATTTTCTAGCAATATTTAGCTAATTATATATTTCACCAATTATAAAAAAAATATTAGAATTATTGCTATTAAGCTTTTAAAATTTATTATTTAAATTTATCAATTTATAACCAATAACAGCTTTGTATTAAATCCACACACAGTCAACCCACCCACATGGGTTTCTGCGTGTGTGTGTTTTAAGCAGTATTCTAAAAATCGGCCGAGGCGGCCGATTAATCGGTCGCCGAGGCGGAGGCGGTCCAAAACCTTTACGATTTTGGTGTAAAGGTTTGAAAAATCGGTTTTTTGCCTGTGAGGCGGTTTGAGGCGGTCCGAGGCGGTCTGAGGCGGTCCGAGGCGGTCCGAGGCGGTCAAACCTTTAAGGCGGGTCAAACTTCGGTGGCAAAAATCGGCAAAAAATCGGTCAAAAATCGGTTTTTTTATTTTTTTATTTTTTTATTTTTTTTTTTAAATTAAAAGTTGGGATTTTAATTAAAAAAAATGAGTTTATGATTTATATTGTTTATGTTAATTATTATTGTTAAAGAACTAATGATGTATACCAAGAATGTATGTAAAGTCAAAAAACATTGCCTTTCTATTTATATTTTATAAGGATATTTATGTATTATGATCTTATTATTATTAAACTTTTATTATGTTATTAGAATATATACATGATCGAGATATAACTATGTTTAAATATTTTTTATCTATGTTTTGAGTATTTATAAATAATATCTACAAATATATTATATTAAATTTTAAAAACCGATTTATTTCCGATTTATCACCGATTAATCACCGCCGCACCGATTAATCGTGAGTCGGTGCCTGACCGACTCGGACCCGATTACCGATTTTTACAACCTTGGTTTTAAGTCAAGATAGCAAAGCTAAAATTCTCTCTTTAAAAAAAATTAATTTAAATAAAAGCAATGCTAAAATAACAAAGCGTTGAGCAATCTTCCGTCACCCCAAGTTCCCACCTTTGTTGTCTTCCATTATGAATTAGTAATTACTTCATTCATCATCTTCAAATAAATAACTTTGATACGTAAATCTTACGTTATTGATTGTAACGGCCTAACGGGCAATGTCATAATCTAAAATTAATATACACAAAAATGTGATCGATTCAATTAAACAAGTCCAGCATGATTACTCAAGTTAAAATAAACTCAAGTTAATGTGTCAAGTTCAAGAAAATTCACAATATATACATGATATACCTAAATGGGCCGGCCCAATGGGCCCTCAAATTTATCTATTAATTAGGCTCACTACACGAAAGCCCAAATACCTTCAAAGTAAGGCTTGGGCCCAACAAAGTAAGCCCAACTCAATAACCGATGTATAAATAAGTGTTTTACTCATTTGTAAAGGTACGTTCTGATAATTGACAATTCACCTCGAGTTTTATTCTCTCTACTCTCTCTACTATCCGGACATCTGACTTGAGTGTCGGAGGGGTTTCCGCCGGATCAACCCCCGCCTTATTTCACGTGTGCTCATTTTGTAGGGACCTCAGGAACATCGAGTTGACTAGCTACTGATCAGCTTTGCTCTCCCTGCTCGTTTTCTATACTACCCTAGGTGAGCTATATTTTAGCATCATCATTTTGGCGCCGTCTGTGGGAACGATGCAAACCAGATCACGTAGCCAACAAGATCCTCCTGAGGCGTCAGCTCGGAGAGAAAATGACACGGCTAATAACCTTCCCGTCCATGGAGGATCTGGCATACCACCTCCTCCACGCGCCGCAGATCCACTTCCTCCACGTGCCGCGGATCCAGCTCCTCCACGTGCTGCAGATCCACCTCGCGAGGTTCAGGTGATCCCCCCTCGGGACCCACCACTCGCCGATCCACCACTCCCTGCTCCTCGAACGGTTCAAATAACCGAGGACGCGCTCCAACGTATGATAGCGGAAGCTTCTACTCGCGCCGCCACGGAGGCCGTAACTCAATATATCGCCACGATAGGAGCAAACGCTCCCAATGCGATACCAGCGCCAGCCCCACCTGTGGCGCCACCCGTGGCCCCACAACCAATACCGAATCAAATAAGTGTCTCCTCCTCTACCTCGGATCCACGATCCCGAGTGCAGTTATCTACCAACCACCGAGGAGCACAGCCCAGACAGCAGCGTCGGCGCTCACCCCCACGGGGGAACGCATCACCACCGAGAGTCCCTCTCTTCAATGAGGGAGAAGGCGAGGTAAACAGCCGAATGTCTCGCCAAAACCTTTTCTCCCAACCAAATAATCAAATGGGTGAGAGAATGCCTCTCCCAACAAGACGCAGTCCCTTCACCATAGATATTCTCAACGAGGTATTACCTCACGGAGTAAAGATCTCGGGGTTACCTCAATTTGAAGGAACCACCGACCCGCAGGAACATATAGAGAAATTCAGTGCCATGGCGGATTTATATGGCCCGACGGATGCGGCGATGTGCAAAATGTTCCGTACCACTCTCTCCAAGAGGGCAATGAATTGGTTCAATTCTCTACCCATAGGGTCGATTGACACCTTCGCTCGGCTGTCAACCCGGTTCACCAACCAATTTGCTATCAACAAACAATACGCCAAGACCCCAGCTCATCTCTTCTCAGTAGTACAGAGAGATAACGAAACGCTCCGCAACTACATCAAACGTTTCGTAGAAGCCGTCCATGAAGTCCCCAGTGTGGGGCAAGACATGCTCTCCGGGATTATGCAGCAGAACTTGAAACCGAGCAGATTCAAGGAATCTATCGCCGGAAGACCCCCAGGCAACCTAGAGGAGTTGCTGAATCGAGCTGAAAAGTACGTCCGGATAGAGGAAGCCTCTACCCATGCTCCTCCTAAAAGGAAAAGGGAAGATGACCGTCAGGACAATAGGAGACGTGATGACCGACGTCCACCACTTCCACCTCAAAGCCAACCCTCCTCCTCCTACAATAGGTTCACTCCGTTAAACGCTCGCTTCACTGAAATCCTTCACGTGATAGAACAGAGAGGTTTAGCGGAGCCTCCACGTCCTATGCAGCCGAATGCAAAGCGAGAAAGGTCGGATCGTTACTGTCGATTCCATAAGGACAAAGGGCATACTACGGAGGAATGTGCACAACTCAAAGCGGCAATTGAGAGGCTGATCAAACAGGGCCATTTAGGCGAATACATCGATAAGCCGCGAAATAAACGCCGTGATGATCCTCCACGCCGAGATAACAATCGAGATCAACAACAAAGACGAGAAGATGGGGGTCATCGACGTGACCCAGATAATAACGATAACCAACCTACCCGGGGAATCATCTCCTTTATCTCCGGAGGACCAGCGGGTGGCGATTCACAAAATGCCAGACGCACCCTCGCTCGATCAGCACGCATGAATCAAGAACATGCTTCTCCATCCGCACGCATTT